TCTTCTGAAGGTTGTGAATGAACCATTTTCTTAGGTGTGTTCTCCTCTGCTTCCTCACAAAGTGTCACACTTCAGGACAGTGAGTGTTTGCAACTTGTGAGGGACAGCACAGTCAAGTTCAATCCTGTCCCCTCTAGGCATGACATTCCTGTGGAGTCCTGTAGCTCAGTGGTTAGAGCACTCGCTTTGCAAGCGAGAGACCTGAGTTCAATTCCAGGCAGAGGGCGAAACCTTGGGCAAGTTTCCTTACTCCACACAGAGCCTAATAATAATCCCTCCAAAACAAAAAACAATAATAAATTGGTCATTTTCAATCTACGACTGTTTGTGGGACATTGCTGTGCGCAATGGGCTGCCGCGTTCGCCCACAAATATATAGTCAATTCACTTTACAATTTGTTCTGTGAAGCGCTTTGGGACGTCCTCCCAACGTGAAAAGCGCTATATCAAATGCAAGGATTATTATTATTATATTAAAAGTGGCGACATTGACATTGTCAGCTTCCAACAAGATTTCCCCAGTATAATGGCACATCGTCAATATCGCTACACATAACATTGAATGGAATCCAAAGTCTTTCAATCATGTTAGCAAGCAGCACTCAAGAAAAGAAATGCCAGCGGATTTTCCTTTCCTTAGTTCAGGAAGCTCTATCTAAGATCAGCAAACTCAGCACAGACAAGGACTGGGACCTTTTATATGGTTCAGTTTCACACTGACAGGAGCTTCACCAACTGAGTCATTGTGATAGCTCTCCATGGCTAAACTATTAACCTAGTCTTCGTAGTAACTTATAATAATATTAATAATAACACTTGCATTTGATATAGCGCCTTATCACGTCTTCGAGACGTCTCAAAGCGTTTCACAGAATATACTTTAAAGTGAATTGACTGTATATTTTGTGGGCGAAGCACGGCAGCCAATTGTACACAGGAGTGTCTGACAAACGGTCATGGATTAAAGTGACCAAATTATTTTATTTAAAATAAAAAAAGTTAAAGAATAATAACTATTAGATTGTGCTTGTTGTCTCTATTTTTCTACCTGATGACAACAGAGGTACATACTCTGACTATTGATGAGTAGTAGTCAGAGGTTGATTCTTCGTGCACTTTTACATTAACATTATTACAAGTGGCTGCTAGCGTGTGTAGTTTAAGTGTGATTAATGTTTGTTATCTCACGTTATATTTGTTGATACTTATCGTCTCATTTAAGATTTAAGGCCGAGGGTTGTGGATTTCATTGAAGCTACAATGAAATTCTGTTTAAACGCTTAAACGTGCTTTTAACTCAAGCTTTCTGTATAAATCAAAGGAGGGAATACACAAACAAGTTCAGCTTAGGTCACAGAGGTGTAAAATAAACCTCTGATTGACTGAAGCTTCACAATTTGCTTTAATTTAAATAGTAATTGCTAGTACCTGTCATTGTGGAAGAACTGATTAGTTAAGTTACACCTAGTTATAGGGACTTGCAATCATAAGTGAGGATTGAACACAGAGGCCACCCAGTGCACTGAGAGTGAGAGCGAGCCACATAGTGGGTGTACATATAAGGGTGATAGATCCGTCTCAGTGCAAATTAGGTTCCCATGTTCACCCACAAAATGCAGAGTCACTATACTTTATAGTGTATCCTCTGAGGCACATGTCGAATGTAAAGAGTTTTATTATTGTCTGTAATCTGGCAGTGGCATTGGACTTATAGACATTTTGTATGGGTCTGTTGCTCATCAAAGCATTCAGGAGGCAGTAGTATTACTAGTTATCCATCCAGTGATGATTCAGTCCCTCGGTTGTCAGTTTACTGATCATCCTTGTGTGAGTATCATCCTGAAGTGTGGAGTGGGGAGTAGTCAGATTCCTACCTAACTAAAATCAATGTTTTAGTTGCTTGGTGGAGATCCGGGATAGTTCAATACATTGACAAGACTTGTGGTTAAACCCCAGTGGGTCTACTTAACTTTTTCGAGGTTGGTAAAATTTGTCGTGTCTAAAAATATCCTCCTTATGGAGTAAGCAAGGTCTCCCTGGAGTTGAACCGGCTCCAAGGTAAAGGTAGGCAGCTCAGCAGTAATCAGGATGGTTAATCAGCTTGTCTCATTGAGATGTGAACGAATAGAGTCAAGGTGTTCTTCGCTGACAATTATAATAATAAACAATAACAATCCTGGCATTTAAGTTTTAGTGCATCCATTTCTATTCCATGCAAGTATGGTCCTGATCAGTGTCTTTGTGCACATCTTTTTCATTTGACATCATTCTATGTCATACTTTGTATATTTAGAAGCTCTCATATAAATACATTTGTTCTGTGTGAATAATCCAAAACATATGAATTTGGGGACAAAAACTTGTTTTTGTTTTCAGATTTCCAGCATCTGCAGTATTTTGTGTTTTATGAATTTGGGGGACCATCCCGACTACCTGAGGAGAATGGTGCCAATGTAAGGAGAACTAAGGGGAAAAATGTGAAAGCAAATGAGAGGTTTTGAATCTTCCTAAGATTTGCTAACATATTATCTATATCAGCCCTGTAGTTTTGCTTTAATATTGCTATCCATGATATTTCAGTAATGTTATTATTCAGTAATGTTATTAATGTAATACATGTTTTAGTGATTTTTCAGCATTGCAGTTTGCAGAAGAATTATCTTACTTTCTCATTTCTATTTCTTCAAGAGACATACTATCTTTCCTCTGAATATGTCACCAGAACTGCAAAAGTAATCCAGTTAGTAACTGACCAATGATTTATCCAGCAACAGGATGATTTTGGTTTGATGTATTCCACATCGCCCTGTTAGTAGGTTCCAGTATTTTATTTATTTATGCTTTACTGCAGTCAAGCATTGGGCTGAAGGTTTCATATGTTTATAAGAGTTCAAAGATTTCTTCATCTTTCAGTATGGTTTAAATTACGACTGTTCCATTTCACATATTTGGTTTGTTCCTTTCTCTGCGATAATCTTAGCATTTTTTTCCAAACCTCAATATTTGCTTCACTTCCTCCTTTGATATCATGGTAAGGGGAATAGACTAAAGGGAGCATGTCAGAAAATAAACATTGTTACTGTAGTGGAGACCAATTCATTTGAGACTGAAGGCTTCTCAAAAACTAAAGACCGTTCTCAGCTGAGGCAATCTTCATCTTAAGTCATTAACACATATTAATAAAAGGAAGACAAAAATCTGGATTCATACTTTAAATTTATACGTTTTTCCCTTTTTTCACATAAACCTTTTAGGTTTTCCCCTTTTTTCAATTCTTTATTTTATTTTTGTTTTTATTCACACATTTTTATTTTCCACTTTCTACCCATTCTATTTCTAATTTCCGAATCTAGCACTTTTTCTTTTTGGGTGTCAATTTGGCTCAGTTGATAGCTCTCACAACGCTGGGTCACAAGGTGATGGGTTCAAATCCCACGCTGGGACCATGAGCTCACAATCAGTGCAGTACTGAGAGTGTTGCATTGTCCTTCAGGTGAGATATTAAACTAAAGCCCCTTCTGTCTGTTTAGGTGTGTACCGAAGAACTCATGATATTATTGGAAACGATGAGGTGTCCTGTCAACTAAAATCATTCACCTTTTGGTTGTTTGTGGGATATTACACTGAAAATGTCTCTTGTATTTACGTACATAAAACATTACATCACTTGACAGTATTAATGTAAAGTTCTTTGAGGTGACTCAATACGATAAGGTGCTCCAATCATTTTTCCATAGTTTCATAAAGGGAGTAACTTTAGTACAACTATTCTCAGTTGGCTGAAAACTGACTTTATATGGCAAACAATTGCAACATGAGAATCCCTAAATTGACTGTATGTAGGAACAGCAGAGTGGAAAGGACTCTTGGAGTTTGTCTGGCTGGTACAATATTCTAAAATATTGCATTCTTTAATACGCCCTAATATCCCCAAGGATATCAACACATACTTACCTGTGAATTTTAATATGATTATCTTCAATTCCTAATTTTTTTTCAATAAATTTATGAAAATAAATAAATCTTTATGCTTTGCAGTCTGTGAAAAGGATTATTATCACAAAAACATACGATTGTGAAATATCAAGCTTGAACGCTCCAGATTAAAGCGATCCTAATAGCCTAATCCTCCAGTGCAGTGTCACAAAGTCTGCTTTTCCATGGTACAGCAACATGTCATAGGAACATAGGAACAGGAAGAGGCCATACAGCCTTTCGAGCCTGTTCCACCGTTTAATTATTAATTTGAGCCTGGCTGATCTGAACCTCAACTAATCCTTTCAATTCCAATTTCTTGCTTTCTCCCCATATCCCTTAATACCCTGACCTACCAAAAATCTATCAACCTCACTCTTGAAGGTGTGGAGATGGATCCAGCATCCACAGCCTTTTGGGGGAGAGAATTCCAGATTTCTACAACTCTTTAAGTGAAAAACTGCTTCCTCATTTCACTCTTAAATGGCCTGGTTCTAATTTTAAGACTCTGACTCTTTGTTCTGGATTCCCCCATCAGAGGAAATAGCTTCTCTGTATCTATCCCATCAAACCCCTTTATCATCTTAAATACCTCAATCAAATCACCCCTCAACCTTCTAAACTCAAGGGAATACAATCCCAGTTTACGCAGCCTTTCCTCGTAACTTAACCCTTTTAGGTCTGGTAACATTCTGGTGAACCTGCACTGCACCCCCTCCAGGGCCAATATATCTTTCCTGAGGTGTGGTGCCCAAAACTGAACACAGTACTGCAGATGGGGTCTGACTTACGCTCTATACAGCTGAAGCATCATTTCTCCCCCTCTATTCCTGATCCATTCAAAGTTCTAGGAAATGGACTGTGTTTGTGATGAACATAATTAGTTAATAATTAGTCAATGAAGAATTCTTCCTCTCATTTACCTTTCATAAAATTACTTCCATATAAAAAAATGTGTATATTTCTTTTTTCAGGTGCAATACTTTAAAACAACAACAACAACACAATTACATTTGTATAGCGCCTTTCATGTCGGGAGGACGCCCCAAGGCACTGGAACATCCTTGACAAGCTATAAATCCCTACAACGTGAGGGACCCTGCTGGGATGTCCGGTAAACTGGTTACTGAGCACTGTTGGCTGAAGGATCTGGTCATGTGATTATGCAGACATCCCAGCATGAAGCTGATGGACCTGTTCCTAGCTCGATCCCTCTCTATGTATTTGCTCTTACAGAGTTTTGTGCTCTTGATACTGTGCTTTCACTCTGCCAGCATGTGTCCCAAAGGCTGTCTCTGCTCTCATGTCGACGGCTTGAATGTAAGCTGCAGCAACGCAAATCTTAAAGAAATCCCTAAAGATCTTCCCCCCGAAACTGCCTTACTTTACCTGGATTCCAATCAAATAAAGTCTGTTCCCAATGAGATATTCAAGGACTTGCACCAGCTCAAAGTGCTCAATTTGTCAAAGAACTTTATTGAGTCTATCGAGGAGCACGCGTTCAAAGGTGTGGCAGAGAGCCTGCAGACACTCGACCTTTCCAACAACAAGATTAAAAGTGTGCACAGGGACACGTTCAGCAAACTCAAAGCCAGGGCACAGTTTTCGGACAATCCATGGCACTGTGACTGCACGCTGCAGCAGGTGCTGCACAGCCTGCCCTCCAACCATGAGACAGCGAACAATATCATCTGCGAGACAGCAGTCCTCGAGGAGCACATGGGGAAATCCTTCCTCAGCACTGCAAACGAGGCAGATCTTTGTAATCTTCCTAAAAAGACAACTGACGTGGCCATGCTCGTCACTATGTTTGGCTGGTTCACCATGGTGATTTCCTACGTGGTGTATTACGTACGGCAAAACCAAGAGGACGCGAGGAGACATCTGGAATATTTAAAGTCGCTTCCCAGTAAACAAAAGAAGCCGGAAGAACTTGATGACATTAGTACTGTACTGTAGCACCACAGACAAAAGGACCCTTTGAAATGGAGTTTCTTCCTTGGAAACTGAAACCACTTCTACCCTACAACAAAGAGGCTGAAAACAACTTGTGAACACAAAATGAAATGTGTTTGCATCGCATCAGAAGGAAACAATAGAGTGATTATGTCGCTATGAGTGTGATGAGGGCAGATTTTTATAATTAATTAACAGAACGGCAACGATGACTTTTCAAAGCTCACTTTTCCAGCGTTTTGACTAATTGTTGTAATAATAATAATAATAATCCTTGCATTTGATATAGCGCTTTTCACGTCGGGAGGACGTCCCAAAGTGCTTCACAGAATATACTGTAAAGTGAACCGACTGTATATTTGTGGGCGAATGCAGCAGCCAATTGCGCACAGCAATGTCCCACAAACAGTCGTAGATTGAAAATGACCAATTTATTATTGTTTTTGGTTTTGGAGGGATTATTATTAGGCTCTGTGTGGAGTAAGGAAACTTGCCCAAGGTTTCGCCCTGCCTGGAATTGAACTCAGGTCTCTCGCTTCCAAAGCGAGTGCTCTAACCACTGAGCTACAGGACTCCACATAATGTACCTGGTTTGTACTGAAGAAGAAGCCGTTAAGAGAGGTAGTTCCATGAGTAACTCATTTAGGAAGTCGTTTTACAAAAAAAATTAGGAATAGCTGGAGTGGTGCATTGGTAAACACTCATTATGGCTCTTCACCTGAGGTACATCTGTTGGATGTCCTGCTCATCGTACTGCTACACGGTATATCTGCCAGCAGAAAGCTGGCCGGTATATCTCAAGATTGCTCCACCCTTTGGTGCTGATGGAGGGGAAAGGTATGAAAGTGTTTAGTGTACGTGAGAGTAGGGAAGCCCTTTCTCCAGCGCTCCAGCTGCAAATTGTTAGCAGTTTCTGATAGTGATCTGGTAGGTATTGTGCAGTTTGATGCTGTGAGGGGCCTGGCATGCCGAGCGAGACAGCGACCGAAGGTTTCCGTATTCCAGATGAGGTGGATCCTGGTGCGGAGATGCCATTTCAAAATCTCCCGCCGGGACTAATGGCCAAAACAGCAAGTGTGATATCACTTTCGTGCGATGTTTTTCAAACTTTCCAGGGTAAGTATTCCTTTTTCATTTCTGTTCCTAATCCTCTTCCCTGTCCTCCTCCTTTATCCTCCCGTCCACCATCTTCCTCCCTCTCTGGCTTTTGTCCAAACAAAGCCATAAGCGCCAACCCCTTTCTCTCCCCTCTCTACTGTCTCCCCTAGCCCCCACCATGTCTGCAGGCTGGCATTGCCTTGCTGATCTCTCTGCTCCCAGTCTTGGCGTGCGTGTTTGGCTGCTGCCCTTGCCCGAGCCACACTATGTCAAAATGCCCCATTTCCTACTCCTCACCCTTCGTTACCCCCACTCAGTCCTTCTCTCCTACCACCTTCCCTGTCTTCTCTCCCTCCTGGAGCCCTCTCACAGCTTCCCTCTGTTCCAGCCTGGGCAGCCTCCACTGGGCTCACCGTAGCACTCGATGATGGTTGACCCAGAGCAGCCACATCCCCCACCTACTCCACAAGGCCTGCCTCCCCCACCTCCGGAGGGTAAACCCTCGTTCTCTCATCCACATCCTTCCCAAGTCTAACCTCCTTATACTTGACAGTCGTTCACCCCCACAATTTACAACACCCCAAACCCTCTCTTGCCTGCACCCCCATTCACATTGGCCTCCAAAATGTCCACTCCCTCCCAAACAAAGCTCCTGTAATCCACAACTTCATCCTAGATGAGCAAATAGACATTCCTGGGCTCACAGAAACCTAGTTCTCCCCTGATGACCCTGTCCTCCTTGTCAAAGCCTCCGTGCCTGGTTATACTTCACACCACACTCCCCAAGATGGTGGGATGGCCTTCATTTCCCATATATTGATATATTCCCCTACTCCTCTGGATGTTTCCCTCTTTTGAGCACCTCATCCTCTACCATCCCTACTCTCTCTCCTTCAAAATTCTCCTAGGCTACCACCACCTGGCTTCTTCCTTGTGGATATCTCCTCTCATCCCTGCCACTCTGCACACAACACCTGTTCACAATGGGCGATTTCAACCTTCATCTCAATTCCTTCTGCCCCATCTCCTCTGACTTCGCCGCCCTCCTCTCCAACGTAAACCTCACCATCCACATTCACTCCCTGACCCACAATCGTAGCCACCCCCTCAACCTCATCATCACCCATGGCCTAGACATCTCTGATCTAACCATTACTGACAAGGCCATCTCAGACGACTTCCCCATTTCCTCTCCTTTCATATCACCCTCCCCTCTTTCGAGCCTTCCGCCATCTTTTTCCACCCATGGAAAAAGTTTCTTTGCCTCCCTCCCCCCACCACCACAAGTCCCTCATAAACGCCCTCTCATCCTTGGGCCTTGTCCCTCTCTGGCCTTCCACCCACAGTGATCCAGATGCAGCCATCAAGCTGCTAAATGAGTGCCTCTCCTCCATCTTGAATTCTATTGTCCCCCTGAAAACCAGGTCCATCTTCAGCCTACCTGTTCCCCCTGGTACAACAGTCATCTCCACTCCCTCAAATCCCAAAGCCGGTTGCTCGAGTGCATAAAACCGACCTCATAGTTCACCCTAACTGTGACTCAAACATCTTCATACCTACCCTACATACTTGAGTCCTCTAGCTCAATGGTTAGAGTACTCACCTCGCAGATGAGAGACCTGGGTTCAATCCTGGCAGGGCAAAATGTTGGGCAAGTTTCCTACTCCACATGCCTCTGTGTACCTAGCAATAAGTAGGAACCCAGTTGGTCAATTGGTGGATCAGTTTTCTGGGGATAATAATTCCCTAAAAAATAATAATAAATTGGTCACTTCAATCCACGACTGTTTGGGGGACACTGTTGTGCACAATTGGCTGCTGAGTTTTGCCCCCAAAATATACAGTCAATTCACTTTACAGTATATTCTGTGAAGCGCTTTAAGATGTCTCGAAGACATGATAAGACATGCAAGGATTATTATTATTATTACCACACGCCCTCTCTAAAGCTAAAACCGCTTTCTACTCACAGGTCATTCTCAATCCCAAATTCCTGTTCTTCACTACCCACCACCTCCGCATTCCCTCTCAAGCACCCTCAATCCTCACTTCCAATGCCAATTGTGAAGAGGTCCTCTCACCCGTTTTCAAATCCCTTCATTACCTCCCACCTCCCTACCTATCCAATCTGCTTACACCCGATTCCACCATCCGCCTCCTCTGCTCGGCTTCCTCTGGCCTCCTGTTTGTCCCTCGTCTGCTCTGCTCCACCAGGTGGCCATGCCTTCAGCCACTACAACCCCAAACTCTGAATCTTTCTGCATCAATCCCTCTGCCTTGACCCCTTCCTCCCCACTTTCAAATCCCACCTAAATACCTTCCTTTTTGGTTGTGCGTATGGTCACTTCCCCTCTTTCTCTCCTCCTGCTCGGTGTCAGACTCCACCAATGTCAAGCGCTCCAGGACTCCACCCCGTGTGAAGGGCGCTATATAAATATGCTGTTGTTGGCATGCTTGCTTCAGGTGAAGCTGGGCATAGCACTGGCGTCTGCTGTAATTTAAACCTAAGGGCAGACAGACAATGATCACGTACACCAGGAAGGAGAGTGAGGGCCAGGGGAAGGAAAAACATCTGTTAGCAACTAATGACAGGGCAGAGCAGGAACAGATGTAGTCCTGCATTTGCTGGGTATCTGTTACAAACTGACCTGTTGGGGTCAGCAGGCAAAACTATGTGAGGTGCTGAAAGATCTCAAGTCCAACTTTCACATGCTCAGTGTTTAAATGTAGGAGGGCTTGGGGTTGGATTTGAAAAGATCACCTTTCTGATTAATGTTAGAGTTGATGCTCTCATTCTCAGAACACAGCAATCTCCAGTGCACAACTGCTAGTAATTTGATTGCCTCAGCTATAAAGGACATGTCGAATGTGCCAAGAGTCTTGAAAAGGAGTTTAGGATATCCATTGAAACTCACATGGAAACATATAGATTATTCAAACAGCATCTTAATCTGTACATCTCAGCAGCCTACTCCACACTGTGAGCCCATAAACCTCTCAGCTGCCATAAAAACATAGAGCTATTAGAACAGATATCACATATACCTGTGCCTGTTAGTGCTCCCTACAGACAGACAGCTCAAACTCTCCAATGTCACCCTGTGTAGGCAGGGTGACTGTACTTTCAGGATAGGTCGGAGTTCTGGGATGAATTCATTCTTGTTGAGCCGACTGCATCATGCCTGATACCAGATGCCAAATGGAAGGGTGCTCCACTCTTTGGTGCTGTCACTCCTACCTGAGCCCAGAAAGAGGACCTTAAACAAAAGGTTCAAAGTAATTTCTGTAAGTGACGAGAGTCTATTCTGAAGTTGGGGGTGATTAAATGATCACAGTTTTATTTAGCGACCTCAGAGGTATGAGCTTATGACGAGAATTCCCTATTCATTTGAAGATCAGTGTAGTGAGACCGATTTATAAATACTGTTCTGTTAAGTAGGAAGTTGTATAAAGGAAAGTGAAGACTAAGAAGCACCATGTTTGGGTTATTCCTATAAATGGTGAACATAACTTGAAGCTGCTGAGAAGATTAGAACCTGAGAATCACTTAATTAATCTCTAAATCTGAGAAACTGGGTTTATAATGTGATATCCAACAAACCAGATGGAAGTACCTAAATGTGACTTGCAGTTTGTAAATTTGGGATCATGACATTCAGAAATCCCAAGTCGGCAAACTCTGGAAATAAACAATAACATCTTTAATTTATATAGCACACCTCGAACAATGTAGCATCCCAGAGAGCTCCCTGCAAAAACAAGGTTGAGTAAAATGCTGGCTGTTTCACGCAGGCATTTTGCTTGTCGGACTTTTTTCAAACCTTGGCAACCTGGAATTTACAGTTTACCGTTTGCAAATGTCACAATCTGAAATTCACAAAACTGGAAATCACAATTGGCATCTGAAATCCACTTTGTGAATATTGCATTTTAACCTCTAATGTGGTATCAGAGTGGAAGTGACAGATCGTAACAACAAGCACAATCTAGCACAGAACAATTCTGATCTCTTAAGTGCCTAAAATATGTGTTGCCTGTTTATGCATTGACTCTGGTTTAATTTCTGTAAGAAAATGTGTTAATTATCCTCCATCTAACATTT